GGCGCCCCCCCCCTAGAGAAGCCCAGGCCCAGGCCCCACTTGCTGGAGATTGAGGGCTCATTGTCAATTCCACGAGCTGGAAGTGGCCCAGGTGCTAGAGATAGTCAAGATTATTGATTTCATTATAGCTACCTGTGTAAGAGTAGCAATTCCACCACAACTTCTTATATTCCTCTTGTCTGTTTGAAGACACAACTGTCTGCTCCTGCAAGCACTTGTATATACTGTAGGCTCTATGTGGTGAGGGTGGATACCTATACTGTATGGTCTCAATGATGGAGTGTGGAAGATTGTCTTGATTTGATGGCTTAAGATATCCAATGAAAGAGAGATGGGCATATAGCTAGAGAGCATAGGAAAATGGAACTTCCAATGTGGATGAAATGAGATGAGATGAGATGAGATGAAGCATTGGGTGCATCAAACAGCTGGCATTGGGCTTGTGGCTGTATGCGTGCAATTTCATTTGAGACCAAAGGCGGTTGCGTAGATGCAACACCTGGGCGCGAGAGATTGGGATCCTGACTTTGAGCAAATTGTTTTGCCATACAAGCCATTGAGCAAATGCTCTAGACAGCAGCACAATATGGATGGTGCTTCGATTGGGTTTGATTGTCCTCCAAGAACGCATGGGCACCATGTGAGAGGGAAACTTGCTGGGCAATCAATGATGGGGATGGGGTCCATGGAATGCCTGGTGCAAATGGGTTTGTGCATGATTAGGTGGCCCAATGGAAGATCAGAACCATTTGGGTACAACATTGGTTGCTCCTCATGAGTCATGCTATTGGTAGGGCATTTTTTGCACAATCTATTGGTTTACTTTTGGGTGGGTGTTGGTGAGGTCCAATGAGGTTTTGAGCTTGGGTGGCATCGCGAGAATGTCCTTGGCAATGTTGGGTGAATATTGGGAGCATGCTGAGCATGCCAGGTTTGGTACAACCTGACTTCATGTATGTCTATGTGTGGGCAAGAAGGTTAGGGTGAAGAGAAGGTAGCCTTGGGAATGAGTAGTGGCCACACAGCCAATTCAGACCCTCAGTGTATCTAAGGCTGGATCATTCCATGGGCTTCATAAGATTCTTTGGAAGATTTCGTCATAGATGGGGGGATATGGAGCATAGATCTGAAGAGCCATTGGGTGAGAGCAGTGGAGATGAGCAGGATTGGTCCAATCGAACTTGTGGGATAGGATGTGAGCTCCCAAGTGACCCTGAGAATGAGGATGAGGCTTATTATGGGTATGGACGTCAAGAAGGCCATGCAAAACCCAATTCCAATCAGTCATCCAGGTCCAGTACTACTAAGCAAGTTTCTCAACTTTTGTTGGGCGTGGTGGGCACATTGTGTTTCAAGATAATGATCTTCTCTCCATTGCATAAAGAATGTGGAGGGAGAAACCCTTTTCATAAAGAATGTGGAGGGAGAAGCCCAAAAAGTGCTACCTTTGAAACAATGAGAATGCTTATGGGCAAGGAAGGGTAGAGTTGGATCCAGAGGTTTTTTAAACAAGAAAAGTTGGTTTTGTTTAGGAAACAGGAGCACAAGAACATATTTAGATTATAACTATGGAAACTCTGACTAAACATGACAAAATCTAAGAAAAGCACCACAAAAGCACGTAAAAGCCACACCCGCATAACGTCGAGCTCTCTTGTTTTTTGGGGCGAATGCGGACGACATGGACGGAAAAGAAGATGGAGGCCTGATGAGATGGAGGGCCACCTTGATGTTTTATGGGTCTTTGATCTCCAGATGGAACTGGAAAACATGTGCAAGCATTGTTCGAAGAGAAGCATCCTGAAGTCTTGAAGCTCCGAAACCGGGGGCGCCCAAGTGCTATTGTTGGGTGACATATGATGAACTTTCACGACATACCAACCGTATGAAGAACTTTCACCACTATGAACTCGAAAGGTTCATTGTTTAAAGCTATGATGATAATAAGATCATATGCGTGAGACTGGTGGCATCAAACGTGACGCCAAGTCGTTGGAGAGGCTCTTGGTTCTTGGTGTTTGGAGGGTGACTGGAGTGGCTTGTTTTCTTTTGTGTTTTTGCTTCGCTTGGTTCCCACCAGCACCTTCCACCTGGAACGCCAGTGCGGCACAGGCAGAATGATGGGGAGCACCCCAGCTACAGGAGCAGCTGCGCACCGTGCGAAGACGGAGGTTACGCCAGATTGCAGGGGTACATGTGCATTTGGCCTGTTGGGAGTTCTCACTAGCCTGGTGAAAAAGGAGACCATTTTGGATTTACCTATGTTTTGCCCTAGGATTCCCAGCCCGCCATGATTATACTGGCCTGAAATTCCGAAGTTTCACGACGGATTTCGCATTGGAAAGCCTGCCTGGTCGTTCCACGGAGCCCCGAACTTTCAGTGAGGACCCGTCCCCAGCAACACCTCCAGTTTCGGAGGTTCGGCGTAGGAAGAGCACCCGACACCTGGTCGGGCGGAGCCCGGTCCCCGGTCATCCCCAGTCCGGTCTGAGTTCGGACCGGGAGGTCGAGAACAGACGTAACGGAACTCAATGGGCTCCTTGGAACTCGGACGTCGGGTTCTTTACGCCCATCAAACAGGATGACAAACCCAACACGAACCGTTTATACCAAGCATGTTGCGCCAAACTATTCATACCAGGACCCTAGGGGGTGCCCTGTCTGGAAACCCGTAAAACACCACCACTGAGGGACCTCCAGACAGGACACCCCGACAGGATGGTCCTGGTATGCGACTCCGACGTCTCCGCCGCACCGCCGCGGACCGTGCGTGGTCCAGGTCAAAGGGGTTCCGTCCGATCCAAGAAAGAACCACTGGGTTCGGGTTCAGGTCCCTCTTAGCAGTCTACTTTCCTGCTTCCATGTGCGTTTCTTCAAGAATTTCAGTATGACTTGATGAGGTTCGATAGTTGTTCTTTCAGCCTCCTCGAGTCCCTTTTTGATGGCCAGAATGTCCTGCTGGTGGCGATTCTTTCTTTTCTCGTCTGCATGCGCGACTTGGAAGTGCGAGGATGCTTCGTCAAACTTTAGAGTGGGTCAACGCGGAACTCCCAAATCCCTCCGACCTGTAGTTTGGATTAACTCTATTAGTAGCAAGAAGCTACTAGGAACAAGGTGCATCGCTACTAGTAGCAAGGACGCTACGCACGTAGTTAACATGTCTACTAGAAACTAATTTGCTATATATCTTTTTGCAGCGCAGCACTGAGCCCCACGGGGCCATTAGCGCTTGGCGCCGCCACATCCTCCGACAGGGTCTCCGCAGTTGGGTACCCACTCATCCACTGCGGTCGTACAGTCAGCAGGCCGAGGAACACAGTTCGCTCGCTTGATGGTGGTTGCCGGCCCTCGTCCGGTCGAGCTCTTAAGTGGATTGAACTCGTGCAACGAACTGTACCCCCCGCGATCCTGAGCAAAGCGCGGCCTCCATGGCTCTCATGGATCCGGTGGATGCCTTGAAGTTTGTCTTCTACGCGGAGGACGAGACGGTGGAGGGCAAGACGGTGGTGGGAGTGAGGGACTTTCAGATTGCGATGGCCTTGCTGGAGAACCGCCAGGAAGTGCTCAGCCAAGAGGTGCCATTTGTTCGACCTGTGTGTGACGTTTGGCCATGACGACACAGCCATGACCATGGCTGAGAGAGGAGTCGCAGGCTGCAGATTGAGGCATTACCACCTCAATAGGTCCGAGGAAAGCGAGGAAAGTGAGGAAAGTGAGGAAAGTGAGGAAATTAATCCGAATCTGCGGAGTTTGGGATATGGCAAACCATATAAGTTTGAAAGCGAAGAACAAAAGCAAGGCACTTTCCCTTTCGCTAGCTTTGGGTGCAGGGAGTGCGTTTTGATGGCTGACTGGAATGCAGACCTCGCCGATGCCACGAAGAATGCTTGGAAAATAGGCCAAAAACCCTTGCTAAGTGCCACCATGAAAGCCCTACGCTCCAAGGAGGTCCTGCCTTTTGTTCTCTCTGATGGGGCCATGGCCAATTTGATGGACATCGCTCTCCTCATTGGCGACCGTGAATTGGCCTTGTGCTGCGGAGAGCAAACAGCGCTCCGACCTCGACGAAAGTGGCCCTTTTCTCACTTCTTTACTACAGCTGGTCCCCTTAGATTGGGCAATTACGGAGGCCCAGGGCGGGGGCCTTCTTGGAGGAAACCAAAATACAATTGTCCTCCAGGATCTGGCTTTCGCTTGACCCAAAATGAGGAGATCCGTTTGCCCAGCTACAGCGTTACGCTCCGAGACACTGCCACGCTCATCACCATGCTCGAAGCTGACCCCGAGCTTGAGGGCGTCAGGTGTAGATGGCCGCATATGGAGTGGCTAGAAAGGGGCCTTTCTTTCCGAGAGGCCGTGGCCCTTTCCCAAGCTCCATGGGCTGAGTTTGCGGATCTGTTTCCGCAACCTGAGAGCACATTGCAGACAGGATGCCGCTTTCTCGGAAACTGCTTCTTCAAGGCAGAAGGAGGCACTACCTCCATTGACTCTTTGTTGTTGCGGCGTGTGCAGATGGCAGGAATCTCCTTGCAACATGTGGTTGCAGTCACAGAATATGAAGACGAGCTCTCGCTCTTGGACCTCACCATTCTCTTTGGGCGATCTGACGATGCTGCCTTCTGTGGTGCTGCAGGTGTGAAGCTGTCGGAGAAAGGCTGTGCCCTGTTGCATGGACGTACCTGAGATCGTTGAGCAGCTTGATCTGTGGGATGACATCGGCGGTTGGTACCGGATGGCCTACCAGGCAGCCGTGGACCCGGGCAGCCGTGAGGTAACGTCCGAAGAGGAGATTTCTGTCGAGGAGGTGACGTCTGAACACTCAGGACGGGGCCAGTTTTTTATTCAACAACCATTAATTAGGTTTATTCATTCGATCGGATTCAGGCAACATCTCTATTCTTCGACCCCCCCAAAAGTGTGGATTGATGTGATACAACAACCTTCCAGGAGATGCAAATGAGCTTGAGCTTGCCGCACCTTCGCCAGAGCCCGATGTTCCCGTCAAAGCCATGAACCAGCTGTGGGAGGCCATGCTAGAAAGCCAACGTGACGTGCCGCCGCTCAACGTGGATGGCGTGCGCTTGTTTCGCTTGACGCGCATGGCCAACGCCCCTCACATCGTCGATCTCCTTCATGATCCAGATGGACCGTTGAAATCGCTGCATGACCGTGTGAGAGAAGCGGGATGCAGTATCTCAGCTAGAACGCATGTACTATATAAAGCAAGTACCTAAATGAGCAAGGCCAGTGTTTTCCGTGAAAGCTCAAGTGATGCGAAATCTAAACACGGACCGCACTTCGCATCCTGAAATTCGCCTCTTCGCATGTCTAAGGCATTGACCCTGCGGGCAACCCGGTGAAGATCCTTTTTGTGCCCTGTGCCGATGAGCAACTTCTGGAGCTTCAACAACTTGCCGCCAATGGCTGCTTGTTGTTGAAGGTTTCCTGCAAGTCTTGTTTGGTTGGTCATGCTTGAGCCCAGACCGTGAACATGTGTGGATGAAACATGTGAGAATAGAGCAAGGTCTGCTCACAACTTACAACATGTACTCCTACTGTATTGCAAATGACATTCATTTTCCTCTCTCTCTCTCTATACATATCATGGACCACTGTAATGAGCTCTTTGACACACGCACACACACACACACACACACTTGAGTAGGTTGCTCCGTAGAGCGCGATTTCAGGCTGCTTCGCGGAGTGCATTAGCCCTTTAGTGTTACTGCAAATTAGACCTTGACTAAAA